TCATTCATAGTTCAGCCCTGCCACGCGTTCCCGTAGTGTCATCAACGACGCAGTGTCTCGTTCCCCTTCTCGGGGAACAAGGGTACATACGTAACCCGAGACGTTCACCGCCGCACCACTCAACTGTCTTCACCTGCATCAGACACTTCAAGTACCACTTCCCTTCACTGTCAGATTTACCTATGAAAATTCGACCTCGCTCCATGGCCGGGTGGCGCGTCAGATCAACTCGAAATCCTCCCCCGAGTCCAGCGCTGCAAACCCTGTGGCTCTACTGCCTTCCTATCAAAGAGGTCATAGGTCCATCACCGTAACTCTGCCTACGGACGTTGTAGAGGGACGTCCTTGGATGCGGAATGGTCGCAAATGAGGGGGTTTCCGTTCGCTAACCTATATTCTACTCTAGGGTTTCCGTTTTGGCCTCTGATGCAAAAACCCACCGAAAGGCATCAGTCCCACTGGAAATTCCGCCCCGAATCCAACACCGCAAAGCGTCTAAGGTGTAAGGAACACAGAAATTAGCTTCACGTATGGGTGAAATAATTCTGGGGACCTCGATTCAAAGATCCAACAGACTCCAACCCTGACTGGCCGACCAGAGGGTTAGGGTTAATGTTAATATCAGACTAAAACTAATATATCAGACACACCTCGAGACTTGATCACTCTCGGGAAGGCCTTCCTTGGGTGAGGGTTATAAGTGGCCAAAACACCCTATGATCCTGAGGCTCACTACTGATGATGTGTCTTAATATTATTAATAATAACATTACTAAAAACAATAACAAACTCCACGATCCAATAGCTTAATACCTACAAAATACCTAGTTTACTTAACACTTAACTCCAAATACCTAACTAATACTTACCAATACCGCCAACGGGCCGACGACAGCTGATTCGGTCTGCCCTCTCCCACTTCTGCTCACTCCGACTCCTCTGGTTCCCATTTCTGTGTCGGGAGTGCCCAGAGATACATGTGCATTGCCTTTGGCCTCCTACTCCAAAGTTAGTTGGCGGACAGCACAGAGGAGGTCATCGAGATAGAATAATACCCCTAACCCTAAAAGTAGATTTCCTAATATTTTGACTAGATTTTAGCAGTTGAATGTAGCCCTACTTGAGAGAGGTCTTTGTGACCTCCCTGAACAACCACAATTGATCCATCAAACTGAAATATTGTATTAGCCAGACTGCTGTGGACTTTTTTGATACCACCACCTTTAAGGGCCCAGATTTTGATTCTACCCTCAGACTTGACCTCAAGGTGTTCTTCAAAGAAACAGACACACATTCCTTACTACACAAATCCAGTTTTGTTTCTGAGAATTTTTTAAGCACCAATCTTGGGTGTGCAATCCACACAACCACAATGTTTTTGCTACACATAGCCATGGCAACGTTCATTCCAAAAATTGTGTATATTTGATCAGATGCAGACGTTGTAAGAGCCAGTATGTGGAGGAAACAGGGAACACTTTGTTAGTTAGATTCACAAAACACAGATACAACATTGTGAGAAAAAAAGACACACACATCCCCCTGGTCAAACACTTTATTGAGCATGGCTGGCCACAGCTCATAGCACTGATCCTCCAATGTAATCCCAGCCTGGTCCGTAGCCCAGAGACGAGGAGAGGCTCTGGATACACTCACTGGTCACTTTGGACAATAAAAACCTCGCTTCAACTGGAAATCCTCCAACGGTGCCATCCTCACGACTCTATGACTTTCCTGTTAAGAGTTATTCAAAAAGGTCTAATCCTCCTCGGGCTAATCGTAGTTAGCGTTCCTTGTTGCCTTGCCTTCTGAGACAGCAGAGAGTGGCCAGTCAAGAAATGTGGCTCAAACACCGAAACACAAACATTTATGCTGTCCAAAGTAAGCCGAAAAAACAGTTGCTGCAGAATCAGTTGAAGAGAGAAAAAAAATCTGTCTCAAGGTGGGCTCAAACACACAACCCTCTTGATGTGACTCCTGCACTTTACCAACTGAGCTAACTAAACACCATTTCAATGGTTAAAAAAATTGCGCTGATGCAAGACGTATTTGCAGACACCTGCTGTATGTTATTTCTTCTTCTAACGACCATATTCAACGTGTGATGAGTGACTACACTGAATGAATTCTACCAAAAGTAGAACAAGAAGAATATAGTTATGAAATGTACTCTGCAGCGGATGTTTGTCTGTTTTCAGCTACTGTAGAAACATGATGACGCAACATGGTGAGGTCCATGGAAGGGGGACCCGCGGTTATGTAGATAAAAATGACTCATTCTAAGGTAATAAAAACATAACGGTTCATTATTTAAGGTCTTTATACACCACTGAAAAAAAAATTATGAATCTTATATTGCATTTCAGTAGATAATATTATACACTACACATAACATGTCAAATCATAATATCCATGAATTGTTAAGTACAAATTCAGTAAGAATTTCAAAATGCAAATTGCTTTTTAATGTGCATGTTTAGGTAGTGTTTCCCCAGATGGATTGATAATATACCATCTGTAATTGCGGGACAGCATAAGCTTATACCAATGGAATAAAGAAAAGGATATTTTTATTGTCATAAAAATTGCAGAACATTTTATACATGAAAGGGGACATATGGGATATGAGGTACTCAGGTCCCAGTGCAGGTAATAGCAATAATGAAACCAAGAAATCACATAATAAAACACCATTAAAATGAAATAAGTAGATAATATATACTACTAGTATAAAAATCTAAAAGATGTGTGTGTAGCCGCAAAGTAGAGCCAAAGAAGATTCTAATGCACTGCTGCATGCTGCCATCTTGTACAAAAAATATCTAACATACATTTAAATGTGAAATGGCAGATCTACTTTGACATCCTTATTTAATATACTGTCTTAATATTGTATTAAAGGGAATGATAGTGAAAGATAATGAAAACTGGCAAGGTGGGATATTTATGGCCCTAGCATGAAAGAAGTGCAGACCGTATTTAAATGGAACCTTATTCAAATGAATCATTTTTGTTGGCCTAATGGTGCTTGAAAACTCAGACAACTTGTACACATGCAAGAAGGGGCGAAAATTTACATCTATATGGGTCTCACTTGCTTGGCAAAATGACTCCATAGTGCACAGAACAAAATTTCAATGAAGGAGCCGCGCTACGCCTTACCTACGTATTTTACATACAGACTTTGATGTACAGCTGTAAAACCAGATATATGTTTAGACTACTTTGCATCCCTCAATCTTTACCAACTAACTTCAACAATTTCTTCATCTAAACCATCAACCTGCCTCTTAGACCCCATCCGACTTCCATCTACTAGGCTACTTAAAGAAGTTTTACCCTTAGTCAGCACTTCTCTACTAGATATGATCAATCTATCTTTATCATCAGGATATGTTCCACAGTAATTTAAAGTAGCTTTAAACCTCTTCTGAAAAAGCCCAAACTTGATCCAGATGTTTTAGCCAACTATAGACCTATACGCACACCAAAGTTAGTCATGGAGTTCCACAAGGATCTGTGCTTGGACCAATCCTGTTCACTTTTTATATGCTTCCTTTAGGCAATATTATCAGGAAATGTTCCATAAACTTTCATTGTTATGCAGATGATCCTCAGTTATATCTATCGATCAAGCCAGATGAAACTCATCAGTTAGCTAAACTTCAAATGTGCCTTCAGGATGTTAAAACCTGGATGACCTGTAATTTTGTAATGCTAAACTCAGATAAAACTGAAGTTATTGTTCTAGGGCCCAAGCACCTCCGTGATGCATTATCCAAAGATATAGTTTCCCTTGATGGCACTGCGCTGGCCTCCAGCACCACTGTAAGGAATCTTGGATCTTGTAAAAATCTTGAATCTTATCTTTGATCAGGACATGTCGTTTAAGTCTCACATTAAGCAAATTTCAAGGACCACCTTTTTGTACCTAAAATGATGCAGAAAAACTAGTCCATGCATTTGTTACTTCTAGGCTGGATTACTGCAATTCCTTATCATCAGGCTGCTCGAAAAAGTCCATTAAGACTCTTCAGCTGATCCAGAATGCTGCAGCATGTGTTCTGACAGGAACCAAGAAAAGAGATCACATTTCTCCTGTCTTAGCTTCTCTGCATTGGCTTCCTGTAAAATCCAGAATAGAGGGGATTTCCCATATTACTGCAATTCCTTATTATCAGGCTGCTTGAAAAGTCCATTAAGACTCTTCAGCTGATCCAGAATGCTGCAGCATGTGTTCTGACAGGAACCAGGAAAAGAGATCACATTTCTCCTGTCTTAGCTTCTCTGCATTGGCTTCCTGTAAAATCCAGAATAGAAGGGATTTCCCATGATGCACTGAGCTCCTAACCCTCATCCCATTAATGCAAGTTACTAACTCGACTTCTTCCCTTTCCCGTAGTCTTGTGCTTTCTCGTCCCTCTCCTCCTATCACTTCCTGCAGGTGTTTCTGGCTCTGGAGCTGTGGAGTCTGGATCTGTGGATGCGAGTCACTTGCTGCTCCCTGCTCGACACCCTCTGTTCCAATTATTGTTACTAGTCCTATTGTTATCATTGTTTTTATAATCATTAACATTATGATTATTATCATTAACAATACTTTATATATCTGTACCATTATTCATTCAGTCTATAGCAACATTACCTTTACTGTCTGTACCTCTGTGTGTATATTATGTAGGCTGCCTCCCTCCTCTCTCTCTCTCTCCTTCCATCCCCCTCCCTCTTTCTCTCTGTTCCTCTCTTGCCCTCTCTCTCCCTCTCTCTCTTTCTCTCAACCCAACTGGTCGAGGCAGATGGCCATGGTTCTGCTCGAGGTTTCTGCCTCTTAAAAGGAAGTTTTTCCTTGCCTCTGTCGCCTAGTGCTTGCTTTTGGTGGGAACTGCTGGGTTTCTGTAAATATCATCACAGAGTATGGTCTTTTATGAAAAGCACTCAAAGATAACGGTTGTTGTGATTTGGCACTATATAAATAAAATTCAATTGAATTGAAAATAAAATTGAATGTTTACTGATTCTGCTTTTATTAGGGTTCAAACCGCAAAATGGTACAACCCTATTTTTTTTGTACCCATTTATTATTAGTGTGATAGCTGTGGTTAACATTTTTACACAAAACTTGTTCCAATCCTGGGCTTGAATCCCACAATTTTTTTGTGCAGGGGAAAGTTTGCAGTTTCATGATGAAATGTACAGACAAATTGAAATGTAGCTACATCATGGATTATCTTTAGCGTATCCTTCGATATAATGTGAATGACAGTACTTCCGCATTAACTCATCCTAAAATGTTTATAAATTGATCTTTCCAGACACAATGTCTTCATATAGAGATACAGTCAGGGGAATATAGTCCTTCTGAGAGACATCTAAGAAATAAAGAGGATCCTGGGTGACTTCCAGATTAAAACCCTCCTGGACCAGCTTCACCTTCTGTTGCTTGAAGGTCTCTGTCACATCCAGAGATGTCTGAAAACACAGGCAAGGATTCAAATGATCAATAGAACTTTACACTTACATACATAGTAAAGGTAATGAATCCCTGCATGACTTACCTGTATTCTGAGAAACCACGGCCAGGCATATGCAGGAAGAGTTTTTACTAAATGATTGTAGAGTTTTGTTCCATTTAATGTGTGATCCCGTTTTAGGACGATGGCAGCCATACCTACTCGACCTTCATATCCTGAATACAGATTGGAAAACATCACCAAGTCATGCTAGATGAACGAGAACAAACTAACCCCAGTACGTTAATTGTTCCATCTTGTTATATTTGTCTATGATATATGACTGTGGAGGCCCTGAGGTGCAACAAGCAATAGTGCAAAGTGAAAGGAGCTGCTGGTTCTGGACATATTTTTCCCCACTGTAAAAAATACTTTGATGATTTTCTTTTGATCATATCCTCAGTGTTTAACGTACTAAAAAATGTAACATACTACATACTACAACCCTAAAGGGCAGCCAATATAGCCCCTTCAATTGGCTGTGCTCCATTTTCTGGCATGACATGTTTAAGTTTGGAAGAACCTGACAAATGGTGTGCAGGCAGCATATTAAGCAGTATGTATGGCACTGAATCTCTATCAGCTGACGATGAAACGGCAGCGGGTAGAGGAGATTTGGCTTGTGCCGATCGGGGATTTGATCGCTATTGATGCTCAGAACTAAGATGACATAAAAATAGTCTCTAGAATCTGCACCACACTGCAGTGTTTCCCATTCACTGATTTATTTGTAGCGACACGACACGCCTCAATATCAACGCTGACCGCCACATATTAAACGACTATTTTATATCAGTAAAATCATAGTTCCTTGCGGAGCTGCGCATCCTATGATACTTATGATACTGTTGGTACACCTAGTATTTTGTTTACAGCGACACAGAGATGTTGATTCAGGTTAGCATAAGGTGACATGTGACATTTTGTCTGTCAAATTCAGATGGAGTGGAAACTGTATCTTTTGGGGTTTTGGTCTGAATGCCCACTTACAGCGATGCTAAACTTTAGCTGTTGCTAACATTAGGTTTCAGGAACACATAAATGGGTCTCTTCCAAAGTGCCATTAATTTGGTATAAAACTTAACCATTGAGTTGCAATGGATGGATACACCTGGTAGTTGCATGAAGGTTTCCTGACAGGACAAATCACCAGCAATAAACCTACAAGAGATTACTAGGACAAAGATACTCACTTGATTGGTCTACTTTAGCAAGCTAAAGCTTATTCGCTTCATATAAGCTACAACTGCACTTTAGAATTAGGACAAGGTTTGCTTTTACTTCCAGAATCCTGTGACACCCAAAGTCCTCTGTCACAAACCTTATACTGTATATAAGGTAAGGTATACTTCATTGTCACATGCACATTCATGTAGCGAAATTCATTCTCTCATCCCTTAAGGGAGTAGTGGGCAGCCATTGAGCAGGGCCTGGGGACCAACTCCAGATCTGAGCCTGTGTCACTGGTCAATGGTGCCGACTAGAGAACAACAGAGTTTTTTGATAAGTGGTACAAAGTGGTACAATGTACCACTGTACGAAAATGTAGACTTACATCTTACGGCTGTAATCGCAGCTGTAATCGCAGCAAAAGGTGGCGCTACAAAGTATTAACTTAAGGGGGCTGAATAATTTTGCACCCCCAATTTTTCAGTGTTTTATTTGTTAAAAAGGTTTGAAATATCCAATAAATTTTGTTCCACTTCATAATTGTGTCCCACTTGTTGTTGATTCTTCACAAAAAATTACAGTTTTATATCTTTATATTTGAAGCCTGAAATGTGGCAAAAGGTCGAAAAGTTCAAGGGGGCCGAATACTTTCGCAAGGCACTGTAAATCATCCAAAAATTACCATAAAATTTGAAATTGGCTGACTTCCTGTTGGGTTTAGGGCATTGCTCCAAGAGGCTTTTTGGTACGTCTAGACATAATACATATGCCTCAGAAATTTCATACATGTAGGTGAAACGTGCGGCGGGGGCTGCTTCATTAAATGTCACTTCCTGTTGCCAGCAGGTGGCGCTATGACTGTGGGTGAATGTTGGCATGTACATGTGTTCAGGGCGGGACTCTTATCAAACATGTAAAATTTGGAACAGATTTGAGCATGTACACTCAAGTTACAATAACTTCCTGTGTCATGGCGACGTGTGGAACTTGGCCACGCCACCGCCACGCTGTTAAGTGCAAACAAAGGTTTTACAACATGGCATTATTAATGTGTTAAGGGTTTTCTGGGACAGTTTTGAAGCTGATATGGCTAACCTGCTCGTAGTACATTAGTACATTAAAGCGTAAAACGTGTCATTTCCTGTTGCCAGCAGGTGGCACTATGACTTTGAGTGAATATTGGCATGTGGGTGTGTTCAGGGTGGGATTCTTATTATACATATTAAATTGGTGCAGATGTGAGGATGTACACTGAAGTTAGAACAACTTCCTGTTTCACGGCAAATCAATGATTTTTGACGACACGCCACGGGCAAACTGGTCGTCTGGTAATAACCTTTTGTACAAATTTTAAGTCAATTGGAATAATTCCCTTATAAGAAAAATGAACACTTGAACATACATATGTAATAAGAACTACCTAAAAATATAGCTGCAAGCGGCGATTCGTGGGTTCAAACATCACCATCAAAATAATTTCACACATGTGGTTAGATATTGTTATAAAACATATCCTGCAAGTTTTGTAACAATTGGACAATCGTTTTCTGATCTATAGCTTGACTTGAATAATTCCACATCCAGTTATTGTGTATTTATGTCACCTCCTAGTGGTCGATTTGAATGAGAATTGTAGGGGCAGCTGTGGCTCAGGAGATAGAGCGGGTTGCCCGTTAATCAGAAGGTCAGCGGCTCCTCCAGACTGCATGTCAAATTGTCCTTGGGCAAGTTACTGAACCCCGAATTGCCCTTGGTGGCCACCAGTTTATTAATGTTTATGAATGTTAGTATCTGTTTGAGTACTTAGGCTCAGTGTATCAATGCGTGTGAATGATGAATGCGATGTAGTGTAAAAGCGCTTTGAGTGGTTGAAAAGACTAGAAAAGCGCTATACAAATTAAATGTAAATTTTACATTTACATTTGTAGTGTATGTGTGAGTTGCTTATGTAGACATATCCTGGAAGTTTTGTATTGATTGGACAAAGAATTTGTATTTTGTAGCCTGATTTGCGTTATATCATCTGCAGTTTGTTTGTATTTATAGCGCCCCCTGGTGTTCAATTTTAATGAAACTTTCAGGGCGTGTTTCAGTTCCTTATGAGGACATATCCAGAGAGATTTGGGATGAATGTGTGATTTATAGTGTAATTTGTATAATGCTAACCTTTCTTGCGCTTGTAGCGCCCCCTAGTGACGTATGTACATCAAACTGTTCTGGTATATCTGGGGCACCTATCACATTGAACAGGAACAACATATCCTGTGAGTTTAGTGATGATTGGCCTAACGGTTGCTGATTTATGTTCATTTATGTCCAGAGCCACGCCCCTTTAAAGTTCATTGGTCAATATCTTGAAAAGTAATGAGAGGGGTCCAACTGCAGACCTCCACTCTCAGGCCGTTTTTTACGTCCCCACAGAACGTAACGTGATGCGGTCTCAGTTGTTTCGCTACTCTACACATCGCGGTTAGCATTATCCAAAACACTGAGTAAAGTCTGAATGCATTACTCTTGGTATATGTTCGCAGTCAATAGCTACCACTATCAATATTGTACATCTAAATCACACAAATTACAGAATGTTACACATGTTTAAGTTAGGTTAGCCTATTTGTCGTTCTACATTGGTTACGTTAGGCTACGTCAATGGTGGCTAGCGTTAGCTCCTGATTAACTTTTTCCCCCTTTGGATAACGTAAGCTATTCATACTGCATGAAGCTACAGTGTGTTCGCTTTTTGTAAAGCATTTTGCAAGGGTATAGGTTTGCATTTGTCTTAACATGCTGACGATACTCAGGTTAGTTATTGGTCCAAAAGAAGATAAAATAAAGATCTATATCGTTTAGACCGTTGTGTAGCTTTTCACATTTAAGGTTAAACAGTGTGCAAAGACTTTGCTGGCTGTATGAATTAGTTGAATTGATGTTTATGTACTACGACAGTGTTTCGTACCCTTTCCTGAAGAAAGTTACCCCCTGTCCAGCATGATTTAATCTCTCCCTGCTTCAACACAGCTGATTGAAGTAGCTTCAGGATTCATAAGGAGTTGATAGTTTGAGTCAGCTGTTTTGGGGCAGTGAGATATTTAACACACACGGTTATTTAAACAACTATCCACAAAGATACTGCTCCTCACCACAGCCACTGTTGGCATAACCTAATTTGCTTGATTTAGATGTGCAAATATTGATAGTGGTAGATATTTTGATGGAACATGTCAAGACCCATGCATTCAGACTTTTGTTAATGCTTTGGATAATGCAAATCAGTCACTGCTGCCAACTCCTTTTCTAACTGTGTAATCTGTGTGTGTACAGTGAATAAAGCAAAAGTATTATTACAGTAGGCTTTATACAACTTTTAATAGGCTTGATCCAATGATGATTCACTGAACATTTGGTGGCAATCTGTGTCCATATTTATATTTAGTCAAAAACACCTTCACAGATCAGACACTGTCGTTGTGCACCAAAGGGCCACTGAAGACTATTCAGTTATAAAATATAGTGTAAAACTGACCTGGTATGGCGACTCCATAGACGCTGGCCTCCTGGATAAAAGCAAGAAGACCTAAAACCTCAGACACCTCTGTGGTAGAAACATTCTCTCCTTTCCACCTGTAGGACACAGGTTAAATGCAGTTAAACCTGCAATAACTGATTTTCTTGACTTGGGTCCAACAGAAACAAGTTGTAACCACAATTACAATTGTGTAGGCTGCCTTCCTCCCCTCTTTCTCTCTGTTCCTCTCTCTCTGTCTCTCACCCCCCCAACCGGTCGAGGCAGATGGCCCACCCTGAGCCATGGTTCTGCTCGAGGTTTCTGCCTCTTAAAGAAAGTTTTTCCTTGCCTCTGTCGCCTAGTGCTTGCTCTTGGTGGGAACTGTTAGGTTTCTGTGAATATCATCACAGAGTACGGTAACTGTTGTTGTGATTTGGCGCTATATAAATAAATACTGAATTGAATTGAATAATAATATAGATTGCCATCTAAAACCCTATTCCGTGCATCTGGTTAATCTTGATTTCTTGCAATATAATTGTTATTAATACCACATTTTTTCACTGTAATTACTTGTAAACACATTTTGCTATAATAAATGTTTTAACGCCAGCAACCCGATCCCAGATAAGCGGATGAAGATGGATGGAGGATGGATGGAATGTTTTAACATATCACTCAAGTTTTGTCTGTGAGGATTTCTTCAAAGCAGAAACTAAGATCAATGTACTGAGAAATTATGACTCAGATATAAAGACTGAGTAGTTTAATTGATTTGATTACATTTTATTTATTTTTATTTCCCCTGAGAGCAGGGATGGTGCCTCTTAAAATGAGAAGAAACATTTTTAATGTAGATAACGCTACATAGCAACAAGTTAAGCTATATGACCATCATGAAACTCATTTATGAATTAGCAGGAGAAAAAGGTTTTTTCTCATAGTTTGGGGGTCTTTAGACACATAATTATGTTGATATATGTAGTTAATACAGGTAACACAACAACAGGAGGGCTTCTTAAAGAAGAACTATCAGGTCTGTAAGAGCCGAAATTCTTACTGGTGTCATGCAATAAAATGCTAATTAATTATTTAAAAATCATACACTGTGATTTTCTGGATTTTTATTTTAGATTCTGTCTCTCACAGTTGAAGTATACCTATGATAAAATTTACAGACCTCTACATGCTTTGTAAGTAGGAAAACCTGCAAATCAGCAGTGTATCAAATACTTGTTCTCCCCACTGTATGTGTGTGTGTGTGTGTATGTATGTATATATATATATATATATATATATATATATATATATATATATATATATATCACAAGTACATAATTAATTCTATCCAGTGCTACAGAAACTATGACTATTACTATTACTTAACACACTTCACACCTACAGGTAAGGACCCGACTCTCTGTTTCTCTTTTTTAATAGTCATATATCAGCTGTTATAAATGCATATATATATGTATAAACCTTTATTTAAACAGGAAATGTCCCATTGAGACACAGTCTCTTTTAAAAGGGAGTCCTGTATAGCACAAATAAAACATAATTTTTCACTTCCTGTGTCCCCTATGTGGAGCTACATAGCACTTTTATGAATATAAATCGGTATTGGTGTGTAGATGTCTGCGGGGTGGGAGAGTTATCAAGCATGTAAAGTTTGTTTCAGATGTGAGCATGTACACTGAACAATAATGTACCCAAACAATAAAATAAATTGCTTTTATATTTCCCTGCCTTGTTGTTTATGTGTACATACAGAGGAAGAATGAGAGAACAGCACATTTCATCGTTACTGTGTGTTAGAGCATGGGAGAACAGTGGATACTTTTAATACAGCCCACACCCCTAATACTGTGTAACTATAACAAGTAGAGAACAGAAGAAAAAGATGTTCTTTCTTTACAACTGTCTGCATAGCTTATTCATATTGTGTAATGAATGAAAATAAATAGGCCTACTAGGCTCCTCTCTACTTTGACATTTAAGATTAGCTTGTTTGATCCACCTTCATACACATGTGACATTACTGTACAACTTGAGAAAGGTGAGTTGTTTTCTGCTCCAGCCTGCCTAAAAGAAAAGCATTTTTGGGATTAAATGGACTTTATTAGCTGCTGCAGTGCAGGATGAACTCAGAATAGACCCATTTCTCACCTTATTATTCTAAATCATGCAACGAAGAAGAAATGCATAATAAATCCTGGGACAAAATCTGTCCACAAATACTGTACAGCATGTAGTCTAATGAACAAGACTTGTGTTATAGCTGACTTGGGCAGTGAAATGTTTTTTTAATTCATGTGGTCATAGTTGTCCACAACTCAAATCAGAATATAAGAAGAAATGTTTTATACCACCTCAAGAAGGCTTCCTATCAGAAAGGTAGGAAGGTATTTCAAATGTACAACTGCAGTACTTAAATCTAAGTAAAGTAATTTCCCTGACATTTTTGTGTTACTTTACTTTTAATAGACCCATGTAACAGGTTTTATACTTCCTGTGAGTATAATCCAATCAATTTTATTTTCATACTGTATATCCGTTGTGTAATTTGATAAATTGTGTTGTATGTCGTGCTCGCATCGTGTACTACTGAGACTTCATTGCCCTCTTCAGAGAAGACTCTGACTGCAACAGGCGTCTTTGTAAAGAGAGAAACGGACAGAAAAGGTCTCTAACTCTGCCTGTCAGCTCGCTCTGCTCCGTTAAAACTGAATTTACCATACAGAATTGAATACGAGTGCAGATGTCTGCGGGGTGGGAGAGTTATCAAGCACGTAAAGTTTGTTTCAGATGTGAGCATGTACACTGAACAATAATGTACCCAAACAATAAAATAAATTCCTTTTATATTTCCCTGCCTTGTTGTTTATGTGTACATACAGAGGAAGAATGTGAGAACAGCACACATTTCATTGTTACTGTGTGTTAGAGCATGGGAGAACAGTGGATACTTTTAATACAGCCCACACCCCTAATACTGTGTAACTATAACAAGTAGAGAACAGAAGAAAAAGATCTGAAGTCTGCATAGCTTATTCATATTGTGTAATGAATGAAAATAAATAGGCCTACTAGGCT